AAATAGTCATCGTATTGCAAAATCTCTTTAAACACATACTCTTTGAATATAATATATGGCTTTAATTTTTTGCGTAAAAAATCGAGTTTTTGATCCAAAATCAGGAGAGGGTTCCCTTAAGGCCAGGTTCCTCCAAAAAACGCGCTTTTCTTAACAAATTTTATTTATCTTAAAAAAATATTTATAAATTAAAGCTTTTGTAGCTGAGTAGAGGTATAAAAATATTAATAAACTAATAAATGTCGGTTCTTAAAATTGCTGTTGAAAAACGTCCCTTTTGTTGGCGAGTGACACGATAACTGTTATTTTTCACGTCACATAAAACTCTTATGTACCAGTATTACATGGATTTCGCAAGGCAGCTCAAGCTTTTCGTCTGCTATGGGCTATCGTTAGATTCCGAACACTCCATTCACGGGAAGAAAAATTCTGAAGGTGTTGACAGAATCTCTGTGAGTGGCGCTTAATGCTTACTGGAGTCTTATAGATCAGCGTGCCTGGGTGGTGTTTGGCTTCAGTAGGTAACTGTAAGGATGGTCCTAGCATAACATTGTTTTCCTTAACTGTGAGCATAAAGGTTTCACGGTGTAAATTCGACGTAATTAATGATCGATCAATCGCTTTATAAGTTGCAAGCAACAATGCGTTGTGTTTTTTCAGGAGTTATTTTACGGTTCTGCACTGACAATCGCAGTGGTATGCGGAGTGAGGAAGTGTAGGCTATCGAATGGACTAACGTAGGGTTGTTTACTGTGAAGATGTGAGAGAGGTTGAACTAAGCTAATTAATATCCTGGCCAGACGCCAACGACACATGAGATCAGGGATGCGCCCTCTGATGTGGAAGGGGCTCCGAAATTCAAAAATCAAACAGTCAGTTTTCGATAGCAAAATTTTACAACTCAGGTAATTCACTGTCCACCTCTTGTTTTTGTGTTTTTCTTGCTGTAACCGCAAAATTATTCCCAAAGAACTTTTCGGAGAATGTTGTGGGAGTGACAGTCTTTGGCCTGATAAAAACCCGGGTCGTTCCAGCATTAAGACCCGACTGTCGCGGGAATTATTGGATTTTAGTCGCCCCTTACGACAGGCATGCCTTATCGCAGGTAAATTCTTGAACTTCTAACCTGCAGAGGGTCTGTCCACCTCCTCAACCCCGGTCGAGCTTCAATTGTTTTTGCTGTTGTTACTGGAAGGCGTCCTCTTTGTTGGAATGTTTTCCCGGTTTCTATTTATCTGGTATTGATGAAGTGGTAAAAGACAGACTGAAGACCTTGGTAAGGAATTCTGTTTCGAATGGACTTAGATATTTTAGCATCAGCATGCTTATTCTGTCAGGGTCGATGGATTTGGTGGCTTTTGCCCTCCCGATAACCGCATGACACTCCATTCTGAAGAAATCTAGCGCCGCAATTTACGAAGACGCCGAGTCATTAATACAAATTAAAAGCCTCTTAAGCCAGTAAATGCCGAAAACTCCAACCTTTAGGCGGTTTCTCAGGTAGTAGCGCCTGCATATTTGATAAAAAATATGCGCAAAGTAGACAAATCAACATATCTACAATATACATACATAAACATCTCTTATATACATACATAAATATGTATATGCATGCAAGTATACATTCAGATATCTATTTAATATAAGTGAGTAATCGGATCTCTATGCTTCACATCTGCAAACACATATTTATTACAACACATCCCACACGGCTGCCTCTAGCTCTTTTTATCACAAATTCGAATACTGTCGTCATCACCTTTCGTCTAACAAAAAGGTCTATTATAGTTAGTCGAAGGCGAAGAACGAGTGACGTACAAGCATTCTATTGTTTACTCTCGCAGGGTTTCTGCGCTTGGTTAGACATGTAGCTATCAAAGAACATACTTTGTACGTTCAGTAACAGAGAAGAACATTTATAGCGTACAACAAGAAAGGTAGAGTTAAGTTCAACAGTGTTGACCATCAATTGCTCAGCTGCTTATGTAAAAAATTGGGGGTTATGACGGTCAAATTTGTGAGGAGCTCAAATGTATTCGTTAACTGAAATTTTACGGTAAGATAAGCAACGAGCAGAGAACAAAAATTCGGATCCAACACCAACCCATATTCGATGCATGCTGACCGAACACACACACACAAATATTTGTGCCAAAATGGAATTTACCGTGAGAAGAAGGTTAGAATATAAACCTATGAAATCTATTTAGTTCAGAATTGGCAAGTACACTACAAACTATTGGATCCCGAAAAGGATCCTTGCCTTTCTGCATTCTTTACTATACGTTAGTGTCCTGTCAGGGCAGCAATAATCTTTAAGATATCCTCCTTAGCCATTTAACCTTGTCCAGTCTCATTTCGGCCACATTGCACAGCTTGTGACAGCACAAGTTTCAAGTTCACACCCTAACGCTGCCTGTATTGTGAAAATATATAGTGTTATCAGTAGATTACATGCGATTTTTATAGGGAAGAATCTGTTTTTTTCTTCGTACCGTGTAGTTTCCCTCTACGTCTCTGTGACCAGGTACCCTAACGGAGAATACTGATAGTCTGTTATATTTAGCCATCTCCTGGAGAGATCTGTAACAGCCTAGTACGATCATAGAATTTGTTGTGAACGAGTTCAGAGCTTTAATATTAGTCTAACTATCACTGAAGATGAATATTTCTTTGCCTGAGTACCCTTGCGCGGTAAGATTACAATAATTTTTTCGCAATAAGGCATGCCTGTAGTGAGAGGCGACTGAAATCCAAAAGTTACCACGACATTCGTTTCTTTATACCCTAACAAACCGGATTTTTAACCATCCAACTACTTTGGGAAATATTTTTCGCGTTACAACAACAACAAAATGTCTCTTCCTGAGTATTCGTTGCCAAGCTTTCATGATAGCGGTGAATTCTGCATGGAGCACGCTGCTATGAGAGTTCCAATGAAAAAAAAAAAAAATACAAAATCTGCGACACTTTTATCTGAACTAATTTAAGAAATTATTAAAACGACGATAAGACATACACATGTACATATGTATACATACATACATACATGAAATATGTGCACACATTCGTGCACATAAACCAAAAGATAAAGTGGCTATAAAATTTGTATAGTTAATAATTTTTGAAGAGGTACTGCTGTACAGTAATATTTACCCAGATTTTACGAATTTTTACTTTGTTTATCTATTTCTCACATCATGTCAAGTGCATTTATATGCGCTAATACAAATTATTTTTTAATGTATTTCAAGTTTGTTGACTACTGACTATTTAACTTCTGTTTTACCAGCCGAGCGTATTATCACCTAGACTGCACTCAAATTGTGCAAGTGTTGACATGTGTATATGATAGAAATGTAGAAACAATAATAATAGAACAGCGGATATCGATAGTTTCGTTAATTTTCAAAAATTTATTAACAAATTCTATATATATGTATATATACTTGGTTGTTGGTGGTTCTAACTCTAATGAAGAAATTTTTACAATGAATATATACATACATACATTTTATAAAATCTACCTAAAAGGAAGCTGTAAAACTATATAAGCGTCATGGTCATATTTACCGTTGATGAACAAATACGTACAGAAAGATGTACAGAAAGAAGTATGTACATATGTAAATAAACATTTCGCTGTTTATTGTTTTATCAAACAATTAAAGAAACGTAGAGAATCAAATAACTAAACCGAGTATAAGATATCATAATTGAAAGAGGTGTACAAGGTCAAAAAAAAACCTATATAAATATACACATGTAGTAGTATTGTATAAAATTGTAAGGCTGGTCAACGGATTGTTAATATGTACCTGATTTTCAAATACCACGTTATTACTACATACATAGTACAAGGTATGTGCATATCACACTAATATCAGACGTTCAAAACATTTTGTGGTTTATATGTACATAAAAGCCTCCATACAAATACAAGGTTTAGCTCAAGAAAATAAAGATTGTTTTAAAACATCACCATGATTTTTCTTTCCTTTATAAATATTATATTTAGAACCTATATTTCATGATAAAAACTATTGACTTTGATTGGAACACATAAAACTGAGCTTTGCTTTTCGTTTCCTAATCGTAATACCAAACTAGCTAAGTATTAGTAGATATAAAGTTTAAAACAAAACTTAATATACACTTTAATCCGTAAACTAAATCGAATGTCATGATATTTTGACATAATAGCTCTGTGTGGTGAGTAATGTCAGAATGTCGAGATTTCAGGATCGTAATGTCGAAATTGTATTCTCTCGGTGCAAAATTTTACATTTTTTTTGTCGAAAATTCAGTAGCAATTGTTACTAACCATCAGGTCACCGAACCCGACAGAACTATTAGGCCATAGACCTTTCAAGTGTACTCACTTATGTATGTATATGTTCATCATCATAAGGATGATACCCTTAAGCAGTCTCGTTTTCCATGTGACCAACATTGTATGGTATTTAAATGTACATATATGTATATACACGTTTGCAATAAGTGTGTAAACGCCTAGGTTTTTTTTTATTATATTATTTTTTTTTTCGTCTTCCAGTCATCGGCTCGTTTGGTTAATCGCCAAAAAAAAAAAAAAAAACAAAAAAAAAACTTCCACAAAAAACACATCATTTACTTGCCAGCAATACTGGTTTTTTATACACAAATACCTTTGCGAAGACTCTACCAGCTCTTTTCATATTATGCGAGTGCGTCAAATCAGCGCAAACAAGATTCAAAGTGAAAAAAAGAGAAGCGAAAGATAAGATGAATATCTTCAGCTACTTTAATTAAGCAAAACTGAATGAAATTTTTGTTAATTTATATTTTAGGACTCATATGTTACGCGTATCTACTTAGTATTGGTATTGGTATGGGTGCTTATCCTTAAGCAAGTAAATGTGAAACAACTAAATAATAATAATAAATAATTCATTGGCTATTTAGTTAATATGCTGTCCATTTACTTTATACAGCACGATAAATCATCATTCCATACTAACCTTCTAGCTTGTGGCATAAATCACTTGAGGATAGGCGTACCTTACTCCTTGCAAATATAATAAATTAATGTAGTAACTGCACGTTTATATAGTATTCGCAGAACACGATTTTTATAATATTATTCATGACACTAATGTGGTTCTGCCGGTTAAAAATGGAATCTTGACACTGTACACTCTTTATGCTAATAACCAATACATATTCAACTCATCTTTCAACGTAAATAAGCATAAATATCCATTGAAGGATTGGTTTTTGTATTTCTAGCCGATATGAAGGATTCGCTTTAACTATTATTATTATTATTATTATTGATACGCAACGCGAAACCGATGATGTATTAAGTTCACTAGCAACACTTTTTTCCAAGGCAGTATTGACAACAATTATTCTATTTAAAACAACTTCGATACCAATTGGTTGCTTACTATGAATGTTTAAAAAAATTAAATTAACAACAGTACGCTAATGAGGAAACTGTTGAAAATACTGCTAACAAACGTACGTACGAAACTGTGTTGTTTTTGGACGTTGCCTTTATAGCTCTTTACTTGTTTCATGCGCACTCGAACGCCTGCGACCTAAGATAGATATTTATAAATGGCAAAATTGTTGTGTTGCTGCTACACTGCTACTGGTACTTATGCATATACGTAGATTTGCGACATGGTAGAAGAAGACTGATAATAGGTAAAATAATAAACAGAAATTGAACTTTTAAAATCTGTCTTAGTCTATTTTTTTTTTGTTAAACTTAAATTAGTAATCTCAATTTTTTTTCGAGTTAATTTTTTAATAACAATACAAAAATTATTTTCTGCAAATTTCTGTGCTCAATGCACACACGATTTCTTATTCACCACTGAAATATTGCCAGACGTTAAATATCTAATAAAATTCCAATTAGAACTAAAATACGGTAATTTCCAAATTTATAGAAAAAGCAGACAAATTCTTAATGTATGAGAAAGTAATCAACCGGAAATGTTTATTTGCTTCTCTATTTTTATCTATTTTATCGATTTTCATTTGCTAAAACACTACCCAAACAGAATATCAGCATTACAGGGTTTATCAAAATGTCTTTTAGTTCCACGAACAAAAAGTGTTTGACACATCTCTTGAAATACTTCCGATTAAAAATCCCAACTCTGTACAGTCACAATTCTTGTATTTGAATACCTTCGTCACTATTTCGGTGAAAAAATAAACAAGGGAAATTCATGGCAATCCATTCGAATAGGGCAAAGGAATCAAGTTGAATCAACGGTATAAAAACTGACAAGTAATTGGTGTGAGGTGATTTTGCACTTCGTTTATTTTCCATTCCAGTACATGATTTTAAAATTTCACATAAGGGTAAAAATAATACGATCATGTATTTCTTTTTGGTGAATTTTTATGTTTTACAAAATCTTCAAACAATAATAATAACAAATCATCTCTTCTTTAAGTTTCATAAAAATTAAGACTTTCATTGTGGCTTACCCACATTTGCCAGAGCAAGTCAAACAACTCCTTTTCATATAGGTAACAATCATTTTCAACTCTAACATCTCATTCTTATTATTATTATTAAAGTTATTATTATTGCTAAGACAAAAAAGTCGGGTTGAACTTTATACGAATAAGCCTTTAGTATTCCAGTTCAATTCTTCTATGACTGTTAATTTCACCACTGTTTTATTCGCGTTAGTGGTTACTCGGTTTATTCCAAAATGCATTCCTGTGTGTACCAGTTACGTGACCCGAACTACTCAGCTCGCTTCGTAAGTTCGTGGTCAGGAAATTATGTTGATGTGCAAAAAACGCATGGAAAATTATTTTTAAAATGTGAAAAAATCTTAAAAATATAAAAACAATTTGGTAGGAAGTGTGTGGAACATTTTTTAACAAAAAATTATATATGCCGTGTGCCTTAAGGCTATAAAATCTGATAGTAATTTGCGCCATTGAAGCAGCAGCGGCACAAAAACGAAAACAATTCAATGCAGCAGCAGAGGTCGCAGCAGAAGTTATAGCAACGCAGAGCATACGTAGGGCTATGTAGGGGCAAGCAGCCGCAAGTGCATTGAAAAATTCTCGTGAAAAAATTTAACAGTTGTAATTGTTGGGGGGAAAACTAAAAATATTTGTAGTTACATATACATTTTTTAGTGTGTAAGTTCTTTGCGGAGCGCAGTTGTATGTGAATTTTTTTTTTATTACCAAACAAGTGGAGGTGGCAAATTGTGAGTAAATTGCTTTATACAGTCGTGTTAACACTCACGTCCGAGCTGCTAGTACTGGCGCTTTGAAAAACTACGCAGTGAAAAGCGCAGCAGCAGCAGAGGTAGGGGCCAAGGAGAAAGAGACGTAGTGGCGGTAAATTCATCGATTTTTTGTTTTTGCCTTTAATGTGGGTTTACGTGCAACTTAACAAAATAAAGAAAACCCTACATAGGGTTAACGTAACAAAAAAAAATTAGCTATAATTGCAATAAAATAAAAACACTCAAACAAGAAGAAAAATATAGAAGCAATAGTAAAACTATTGACCATGATAAGTGGAAGCGATGAAAGTGGCGCTAACGTGGTAGTGTCACTAGAGGAAAACAAAGAAACTTCAGAACAGGTGAAGTTCCAAGAGCCATTCAATGGACAGATTAATATTATTAACAAAGGCCTACAGAATGCAACTGCCGAAATCGTAACCTTAGGTGGAGGAGTAGAACGGAGAATTCAACCGGAAAATGTTAAAGTCCAAATACAGCCACAAGCTATTGGGAACGCTCAGAGTACCGGTGAAGTTGAAATTAAAAGCCTTAGTGACAAAGGTGAGTTGTAAAAGAATATATGTAATAAAAGTATAATTCATATTATGTGTTATTTCTTACCTTTGTAGACAAAAATCATAAAAAGAAAAGGAAAGAAAAAGATAGAGAACGCGATCGTGAAAAAGATAGAGGACGTAATCACGATCGTGAAAGAGATAAAGAGCGTGATCGGGATCGTGATAAAGATCGAGACCGTACCAAGGATAAAGAACGTAACAAGGAGAGAGATCGAATACGTGAGCACAGCCATAAAAAAGATTCCTCAAAAGATCGTTATAACAAGGAACAAAGTTCAAATTCTCGTACTGGTACGAGTGGTGCCAGCGATAAATTAAAAGATAACAATAAACAAGAAAAGTCTAAGCCAAGCTCTTCGTCTAGTGCATCTAAACGTGACAGAGAAAAGGATAAATCACATTCTCTTTCAGCTGCATCTTCGGAAAGTTCCTTAGCCGAATATAGGCGTCGCAGCTCCGATAGTAGTCGTGGTAGTCATAGCAATGGTACAAAATCACACAGTCGAACTAGCACCGTTGTTGGGAAAGATGTCAATACAGCTCCACCCGTAAAGTTACAACCAATCAAAATAGAAACCGAAATTCTGATTCCAGATGTTAAAAGTACTATAAAGGAGGAGTCAAAGCAACAGCAAATGAATTTGCTTGATTTACCTCAACATAACTTAAAATTAGAAAATGAAAATAAGGCAGATAATAAAATTGAAATACTTTCGAAAATTATTAAAGTTGAAAATGGGATGGATGTTGTTGATAAAACAAATTCCTCGCAGATGACTATTCCGAATACGAGTGATGCAACAAATAAATTAAACAACGGTATCGGTATAGAAAATCCCAATATTATTAGTTCTGATATCCCCGCAACGTTGAAATCTGATGAAACATCTTCGGAGAAAGCGAAATTAGACTGTAATAGCAGAGGTATGAATGAAAACATAACTGTTGACGGCACGAACAGTACAACTACTTTTAAAACACGGGAGGATGTTTCTCGCCAATTAAATTTTAGTAACGAACCAATTGCGAATCCACTAATAAAAGAGACTAAAACCGAAAAATTGAGTGACAATCGTTCGATCTCACAATCATTAAAAACGATCCCTACAACTAAACCGTCGGCGCACAGCAATGTGCACTTGACGTCTACATCGTCAAGCAGTTCGAGTACTCGCAAATCTTCCTCATCTAGCAGTAGTTACCATAGAAAGAACTCATCATCATCAACGTCCTCTATTACGAAACATTCATCCTCGTCTACATCGGCATCAACATCAAATACATCATCCTCACGCAGTCGCGATTGTTCCAGATGCTATAAACGATCTAAAATACGACGAGCAAGCGTTGGTACTCAGTTCCACCAGAGTGAACCATTTATTTTTAGTACTCCCAAACGGCGAAGTCAACGTCCACCCGAAGGCTTGGAACACTTAAAATACGGTAGATTATTTGAAGTAGAGGTCCATCCTAATGGTGGAGCGTCCGTCGTTCATCTTTATCAGGATGAATTGGATCAATTAACACCGGAACAAATGGAGGAACTAGTAGAGGAGTTTTTCTCGGTTTGCTTTGCGGAAAATGACGAGGGTTACGCATTACATGTTATGGGTATTGTGCATGATGCTGCGAAATACCTGCCAGATTTACTGGAACATATGGCAGATAATTATTCAACGTTAACAGTTAAAGCTGGGGTTTTAGGTCGGAATTCCGACATTGAGACCTGTACAATGGCGCAATATAACGAACAGGTTTGTGGTCGGAATCATGAATATTACCAGCACAATGAATTGTTTTCAATTAATTTTAAAATGTTACTTAGGTTGTTCGAAATTACTCGCAAGGCACTTTTCGATATGGCCCATTACATCAAATAAGTTTGGTTGGCAAAGTGCACGAAGAGGTTGGTGGCTATTTTCCTGATCTCTTAGGAAGAATTGAATCGAATCCTTTTCTAAAGAAGGTATTTTACATTTCGAGTACTTATGTAAATATTTATTTAATATATATTTACTTACCATTATAGACAATGCCTTGGGGCTCATACTCGGTTTTACAAACTGATCCACGTCTTTCTAACGATGGTCCAATATTATGGGTACGTGCAGGAGAGCAATTAGTGCCTACAGCTGAGCTGAATAGTAAGACACCAATGAAGCGTCAACGGTAAGACGAACTATTAGTACAATTCTGATAAGATTTATAATAATGTGTATGATAAAAATTTTCAGTACACGAATAAATGAATTGCGAAACCTTCAGTATCTACCACGTTTGTCAGAAGCACGTGAGACAATGATTGAGGATCGTACAAAGGCACATGCGGATCATGTTGGACATGGACATGAAAGAAATACCACAGCTGCTGTGGGTAAGTAATCAAAATGGAATTTATTCATAAATATGTTTAATTAAAAAAACATAAATTTTATAGGCATACTCAAGGCAGTACATTGTGGTCAATCCTACAACCACAATCGTATAACAAAAGATGTAGTGGCTTTTGCAGCACAAGATTTTAATTATCTTGTTGAAGTTTTACAACTCGATTTGCATGAACCACCAATATCTCAATGTGTACAGTGGATCGAAGACGCTAAATTGAATCAACTTCGACGTGAGGGTATTCGATATTCTCGCATTCATTTATGTGATAATGATATATACTTTTTACCGAGAAATATTATACATCAATTTCGTACGGTAACTGCGGTTACCAGTATTGGTAAGTAATAGCTGTATTTTATATTTGTTAAGGACGGCAAGATTTGTTATGTACAATTGATTAAAGTCTTAAAACAACAGGTTAAGCTAATTTTCATTTTACAAATGATTCGGAAGAGAAAATATTATGTATTTTCTATCTAACTACGTAGACTATGTTGTTGTTGTAGCGGTTCATTAGCTTGAGCTCCAATTTAACTTCCAATAAGAGGTGTTAGTTTTATATTCCAAGAAACTTTTTTCTTAAAAGATCACTGCCTTGTTGAAATTCAACGTTGACCATATCAATACAATCCGATTCCGGTCATAAAAAATCATCAATCCCCTCGATTCCATTCATTTTCGAAAAAGTAAGGACATAAAATTACAACAAACTGTTCCAAGTTGAGAAGTTTTTTATAAATAAATTATTGGGATTTTTCGAGCGCAAATGCGCCAATTTAGCTTATTGACATAGTCATCGAGGTGCATACGGGCCTCAACAGTCAAGATGATTTTTCAACATGGTAGCACGTACTGATACCACTCGGATACTGCAGTCATACATAATATACAGTTTTTTTTTCAAAGTAATTTAATTTATAAAATAATAACAGCCCATTTTTTGTGCACTTATTATATTCTCAGCTTGGCACTTGCGCTTACGTCAGTATTATCCAGGACAGGAGGTAATCAACGAAAAGAATAACCCAGTGCTTGCAGAACCACCACACTATAAAGAGAAGCAGACACTCTTGCCGCATCCGGTGTCACATGATGATCATCATAGCAAACGTACACCATGTAAACGCACGCATGATGGCAAAGCGAAGAAATCCAAACTCATTGATATCGATGGCAAAGAGCGACATTCAAGTGAGAGTGGTACAGAGGACTCCAATTCGAAGGACGGTTCCGAATTCAGCGCATCCACCGGCCGTAAGCGTAAAGCTGTTCGAGACGATGCAAGAATCGATATGCGCAAAATGGTGCTCGAACATAAATTACATAAATCCATGGCAGCAAACAATGAAGTAGAAAGTGTATCTGCTGTGTCATCATTAGATACCGGTAGCACAAACAACATCAACGTAACCACTTTAGATTCGAGCACTGTCGCGCCTAGTTTAGTGAAGGATGTTGTGGATAAGCCGCAAAAACGCAAAGAATCTAAAGATGGTAGATCTCAAGTAGAGGCTATGAAAGTAGAACGACGGAACAGCACTAACGGTGGCAAAAGCAGTTCGACACAAAAGTGCAACTCCAATGGGGATATATCAAAAGATACATCATCCAAAAATAAATACTTAAACCCAATGACGAAATCTCACACCCAGACTAGCACGCCGAGTGCGCAAAATATGAAAACAATTAACACGGAACTACTTAACAATACGACGACCCAAACGACAACCATTGCAGCGGCAGCCTCAGTGGCGAACACGACAACCACAACACAAAAGATACTACCTAAACTGCCGGAGCCGACAGTGCCTGCAACACCCTTGCCACTTGTGCCTCAAACACCCTTTACACATCGCGAGGCCTATGTTAACAGCCTGAATCAAAAAGAACCAGAGATCAAAATTCAAGTACAAATAATATCCGATGAGCCTTCACCCAACCCATCCACCAACGCTCTATCCACAACCATCACACCAAACATAAAGACGCCTTGTGGATCCTCTGAAATGGCACAACCACACCTTTCAGAAATGCTGCTACAAGCTACTTCACAACCAGTGCAAAAACCATCGACCTATAGCGTACAACGCGCCACAGACCATTCAAACGAATCGATGTTAACTGCAGTACCAGTGGCACAAGGTTGCATACTCACCACACAACCGGACCCTATCAATATACTTTCGGTTGCGACTGCACCCCAACTGGTGGTCGACCATGAAGAAGAGGTGACTGTCTCCGAGGAAATAAATGAAGTGATGACACAAACCGCCGATACATCAGCGATTTTCGCATCTACCGTTTTGACTAAAACGACGTTGACGTTTCCGCCATTACCGCCTGAAACAGCGCCATCTTTGCCGCCACCGCCGCCAATAGTAACAGTAGAAAATAAAACGCTGTTGCTAACAAGCAACCAACAACAATCGCGAAAATTGGTGATTGTACCGCAAACAGAGCTACCAACAACATTACCAACGCCGGTGATACTAAAGGCAAAGAGCAATACCAACAGTGTCAACGCAAAACCGGCTACTGCTGCGGCAGATCCACAACACCAACAACAGCATGTTGAGAGGAAGACACACAAAATCATAAAGGTGAATTCGATAAGTAAAGCGTCAAACTCAGCACCAGCCGATTTGCTCAGCTCAATTATGGCCAGCATGGATAACAGTAATGCGTCAACAACGTCTACACAAAACACACACACCTACACATCAACATCATCATCATCATCATCTTTACACTGAAGCGATAAGTTAAAGCAGTAAGGAATCAAGCTTAATGATCATAATGCGGATGAATTTTTGTAATGCCGAAGAGCTCAAGCTGGAGCGTTGAGTACCAACCAATTGAGGAAATCAAAATATATTTGTATAAGGGATACACAGTAAAAATTTTATATTCGCTTCGGTTGGCACTTGAGCTTCTTGGATTTTAGACAACAAGCTAAAAAGTGTATAAAACAAAATTACACAGGAAAAAAATTATTGTTACAATTTGCAATATATTTGTAAATATTATTATTTTTTTTTACATATACCTACCATCATACATACATATTTGTGAGTAGCTTAGTCTGAGTTGTAAGATACTAGTTTTCCTTAAATTATTTAAACAAGACGAAAAGGAATTTTATTGTACCGCACACACACACACATACATACCAGTGTATGATTATTATTATTATTATTATTATTATTTTTTTTTTTGGAAAAATATGTACACGAGAGATGACAGAATTATGTGGACTTTCTGATTGTCGATTACTTGGTTTTGTACATTACTTTGTCTCCGAAGAGGCGACTTGAAGCAAAGACAGCAGAGATAACAATCAAATACAAGTATACGCATAGCGTACAAAAGAGACACGTAAGCGGTCCAGTTGAAAGTTGAAAAATGTAAAAGACAATTGTATTGTTTTGAGTAAATTAAAAGATAAAACCAATTTGTATTTTTGATATACAGAAAAAACACATATTTCTACTTATCTGTATGTACTATGGATTAAGAGGGTTATTTTCGAGGTAACGGAAACGGTTATAATGCGACATACATATGTACATATATGTATAAATATGGTTTGTTCGCATACGTATGTGTGTATATACATATATTGTATTTTATATGAGAAGATATGTAATTGGTAAGCTTGACTTGTGACATTTCTAAATATATTTCGGATAACTTGTGATCCTTGGCGGCCGCGTTAGTCGAGTGGTTAGCATTGCATACTGCCATTCGGAAGGCTCGGGTTCAAATCCCCGTGCGACCAATATCCTAAAGTTATAGAAAATTAATTTAAATAAAAAAATAAGTTAAATTTTCTAATTACGGTCGCCCCTCGGTAGGGAATGTCCACCCCTTCGAGTGTATTTCTGACATGAAATCTCAAGCTTCTCATAAAAACACCATTAGTCGTTCGGAGGCGGCTTAGTATTATATACTGTAGGTCCCTCCATTTGTTGGAAGAACATCAAGACGCAAAACCACACATTGGAGAATGAGCAGGGCCGAAAAACGCTTAAGCGGTTACAAAGCGCAAATTATATATATTATCCTTTGGTCATAATTGCTCCTGCACTTTCAACTGGACGAATGCCAAATGCGTACATATGTATGTACAATTTATAAATATTTTGTGAAAAATTTGAATGTTGTACACATTATAATAAGCTAAATTAATTGTCGGCATATATTGTACGATCTGTTCACAAGCTTCGAATCCACATGATGCTTTACCAACAGGATACGTACATATGTATGAATGTATTTTTTAAATTTTAAGTTCTTTTCAAATTTACAAGCTACTTAAGTGGATCGTTGCGGATGAAAATATATATTGGTTAATTTTAGTTATATCCTTTTTTTTTGTGGCAGATAAATTGCATAACATACAAACATACATACTTACATATTTATATAAAGTTTAATATTTCTATTGTATAAGCAATGCATTGTTACATATTTCGGGTATATGCATATATGTGCATATGTATGTTTCTAACAATAAATACACACATACAGCACGGATGTTAATTTTAATTTGCATATTCTTATATACATATTGTACAGAAAACAATTGATGACCTACATAAATACAATACATATACATATATACTTACATATATTACATATACATATACTTACATACATATAATAAATATAGAAGAAAGAGTAGCAAATAAAGTTTTATTAATACGGCAAAAAGTGAATTTTGTTAAATTATTTGAATTTCAACGTACTTTCAACGTCTGTTATAGTTGCCATGAGTTTTGGTTTAAATATGACTTGGAACACGCTGTTGTTGTTTTTGTAGCGGTAATGTAACTCTCCACGCAAAGCTAATAAATGAGGGTCATTTAACATAAGGCTTAGAAAACTAGCTGACAGCCCTTGGCCGGATAAGAGCGCGAGCTGTCTCCCTTCACCCCCCATTAAAACCAACTTATATAATCTTCCTTTCTCCCTGGTCAGAACCCGTTGAAACGGCTCTTCCACGACCTCCAGTTAGATGACTTATACTGATCTGGCCTCCTAAGCAGGGTTGGTGAACCCCTACAACAACAACAACAACAACAGCCGCTCATGATTTACGATATCCCCTCTTACGACATCCAGCAGTTCTGCTGAGTATTGCAGAATGGAGTCCACATAACATAGTCTTGAAGTTCCTTTTCTGTCCGACTGGTCGAAGGTCTTTACTGTAGAGGAGTGAGTAAATATTTCTTCAAATCTATTAAGTTGTTGGGACTCTTCATTCTCGTTTCGAAGGCTCTCGGATCTCAGATCGCTGCATCGTAATTTATGACCGGCGGCCGTTAGCCTGATTAGTTGCAGGCAAATTTTTTTCCAGGTATCATTGCCTAGCGAAACTGTGTCATATACCAGTAACTTTGGACTATTAGGCAGTTGAAATTTTATTGCCATCAACTCTGACATTCAGACTTGGTCAGTACTGCTTTACCCAACCAGTGAAGAGGATCACCTTGAATTGGGAATTTGACAGTTGGAGGTCACAAATGTCTGGCAGGGAGGTAATAAGAAGAGTCGGGAAGAGCCTTTTGCATTCGAACAAATTATTTTAAATAACGTGCCTGGAAGCAAAGATTTTATCATCAGCCGTAAAATACATCTAGGAGACTCCATTTTCCGTCCAATTGTTGTACTCTCCACCCGATCCTTGGATCCTTCCACCTACGAGTACTTCATCGATTACCTTCTGAGCTGAAGTACTTTCATCCATTCGGACATGATCTAGCCATCATAGCGACAGTGTCTTGACTCACTGGCCTGTCAACTTCGTCGCATATCTCGTATAGTTCTTTGTTCGCTGTTGAAAATGCGCAGAGGACCATCTATTTTCCACAAAGCTTTTCTCTCAAAAACTCCCAAGTGGCCTTATATACTTGGCGCTTTGTAACCGCAGAAGAATATTCGGCCGAGCTCATCCACCAACTTGTGGTGTGAGTCTTGAGGTTTTTCCGATCTAAAGTTTATTATAAGCCGTCGAGCTTTGATTTTCATGTCAGAAATACACTCGGAGGGGTGGACATTCCTTGAAGTACCGGTATATGTTATTTCATTTTCAAAATATTTATGTACATATGTACTACTAGATTTACATATATATTTCGTATAACGTTTATTTCACCTTTAGACATTAAATGTATAAAAAAAAGTATAATTAGCAATTACTAAAATGGAAAGTGTTTCATATGAATGAAATCTCAACTTCATAGTTACATATAACACATACATATATATACAGATTAATATAATATTATTGCACTACTTCCAACCCTTTTCCGCAATAAACGTCAAAAGCAAGCAATAAATAAATGATATAATTCGGACTCTTGAAACTAACACCTTTTATAATTTAGCCCTCAAAGTATCGATGCGGGATTGTGCGGATTTTTGTAATTCCAATAATTTCATTGCCAATCCCATGTTACCCTGGATTTTAATCTTGCCTTGGAAGAAAGCTTTTTGTGGTGGCAACTTTCCTGTGATTAGTTCGGTGACATCCGAGTCGTTGATTGTGAAGGTGACATCACACTTATCTGCGTAAGAAAATCCAATTTATTTCATGTGTAGATATGTAAGTACAAAAGTGTGAGTGTTCTTATCTGCATTCCTTACACTTACCGTTACCATTGAAAATGATTTTGCCTTTACCCTCTTTAGCATTAATCACCCAAAAGCCTATCTGACCATTTGGTCCATTTGTTACTTTAAAACCATATACGGCACGTACTTTTTCAATAAGATTATCTTGATCTTCTTGCATGGCAATTTCTAATAATTTCAGCAAAGGTGTTACTTTAAAGCCTTCCGAACTGTTAGCTGTCTTTGTTGCTGCTGTTAAATTATGACTGACCTTTGCAACCGCTGGAAAGCCCAGGCGATACAAGCCAACAACGACAGCACCGCCCAAACCTAAATTGTGTTGTAATGCCAGCTTACAACCGGGCACTTGACGCTTCTCAGCCAAGCCACGCAATTGCCAACATAGCTCCGCACACTGCGCTAATCCTGTGGCTCCCAAAGGATGTCCCTTCGATATCAAACCTCCACTAGGATTAACCACATACTTTCCACCATAAGTATTATCGCCACGATCGATGAATTCTCCAGCTTTGCCCTCTTCACAGAGGCCCAAAGCTTCGTAAGTGATTAATTCATTTGCTGAAAAGCAATCATGCAATTCAACAACGTTTACATCCTGCGGCTTGTAATTTGTTTTGGCAAATAAACGTTGGGTTGCTAAGCGTGTCATATCATATCCAGCAATTTTCATTAGACTTTTATCGGCAAATGTGGATTCGGGGTCAGTGGCCATTTCCATGCCTACTATTTCTACTGCTTGTGCTTCTAAGCCATGACGACGTACAAATTGTTCCGATGCCAATATTGCAGCGCCTGAGCCATCAGATGTGGGGCAGCATTGTAGTTTTGTAAGAACACCCTCTACCACCTGTGGCGAGCGCATAATCTGCTCTAGCGTATACTCATCACGAAATTGAGAGTAGCTAATCGAAATAAAAAAGTGCATTAAATAGATTAAAATGCAAATAACATGAAGCGATAAGATAAGTGGAGACATTTCATTTAAAATACTTTTGAATCTTGGACTTTGAATTATATAATATAACTTACGGATTATTGACAGAATGTTTATGGTTTTTCCAAGCGATCTTGCCAAAGTGTTCAGGCTTTGTGCCATATTTGCGCATATGCTCCATGCCAGCATTACCGAAAATTTGTGCGGCCATTGGGCCACTGCCAATTTCGGTGAGTTCAGCCATTTCAGTGATGTGGCGTTCCATAGGGTTAGCACGATCAAAATACTAAGCGAAAAAATAAAATTTGAGCTACTCTTTTTTTTTTTGGATACGGGTAATACTCACTTTTGCCGAGAGGGACCCACGTTCCATCTTTTCGAAGCCCAAAGCCAGAACACAATCAGCATTTCCAGATTCAATAATCTGCTTGGCCAAATATAGCGCACTGGATCCAGTGGAGCAGTTATTGTTGACATTATATATTGGAATGCCAGTCATGCCGATACCATATATTGCTCTTTGACCACAAGTAGAATCTCCGTATACATAGCCTACGGTGGCTTGCTGTATTTCCGAGAATGGGACTTTTGCATCCTGTAAAGCCTTTTCAACAGCTTCTTTTGCCATATCTGGATAACATACATCAGCACGACGACCAGGTTTTTCAAACTGCAATGGGAAAAAAACATTAAATATTCACTGTAAACAAAAATACTAATTGGGACTCAATTTGGTTGCTGCTAAGAAATTGTTCATTAAATATCACACATTAAAGAGCCTTTGCTGGTGGTAATTAAAGTCTTACATACAACTTTAGCTACTTACGGTGTTTATCACTTTGCTGTACAAAGTTCATTAGTGCAGAAAACAATTTGGAAAGTGCATCTAATGAACTCTTTATCATGCATTATTTATTCCCTTACCTTGGTCATGCCAACGCCTATAACGTAAACTCTAGTTTTCGCCATTTGAAACAATATTATAGTTTTTATTGGTAAATAATTAGAAATTAAATTACAGCAGTGCGATTCGTTATTAATGAACCATAGGACAATTGTCAGTATCACAACAGCTTGAAAGTTTGCAATCGAATGAAACTCTGTGCAATATCTAATCGGAATCAACGAAATACTGTTAAAAGCATTCCGATTGGGTAGTGAAGTAAGTACAGTGGCAGTAAAACTATTGTCAGACAGATGCAAGACGTTTTTGACATATTTATAAGCCAGTGCAACACTTCTCTTAAGGGTGTAAAAACTTTGTTTGTCATATAATTTGTAGAATGAAGCTTCCTCTTCGCAGCTTAGTTATAAGCAGATATTTATTATTTAGATAAATTTGCTCGGAAAAAACTATGAAAACCTCAGGCTTTGCTAGCGTGCTAGATGCAGATCATAATATTCTTCATAGGATCATAATTGATGGTTTTTTTTCAACTTTTATAAGAGCTGGCTCGTGTAGATTCAAATCTAACTTACTTTCTTCAATTCTTCATACCTTTCGAGTTAGAAGTGCACTTTAAGTAGAATGTGAACTTTATTTAGGTTGACGACTACCTAGTTTTAAATTATTGGACGCCTATTCTATACTTCATTTAACAATTCTATCCATTTCTTATCACTCGCTCCTAGCCGGTAATAATTTGTACCAAAATTATCATATTGGGGTTCATATGGGACCATAGAACTATTCGTGCTATTTGTTGGCAACACTAGGAACGAATAAGTGAATTTGACAAAACGATTACAGATGATGTGGCGAACAGCAATTGAAGCAAATTTTCACTTATTTTTCTTCAAATTGAGTCGATTTTTATAGAGAAAAAGTTGAAAGCAAGTGATAATAGAGTTAGATAGTTAGTGTAAATATAAACATTATTAGATTTTCCAATAAGTGGTTTTCACAAGAGCAAAAAATGCAAAATGTTTGGCAAAGAGAAATGTATCACTTTAAAGTCTGCACTCGTGTTTTTGGTTGTCTGCAGCATAGTTTTTCCGAGTTATTGGGTAGCGGATGGTCTTTCTGATTACAGGCTTTGTGCGGATCCCAAATGTCAAAGTTAGTATATTATTTAGTGACATAATTCTTTTTAACAAAAATGTAATAACTGATATTAATATCACACATATTAAGGTATCATATCTCTTGCAACGGGAAAAATCAGCTATACGGGCGGCGAGGAGGGTATGGTGTCTTTTAAAATAAATTCTAAAATACGAGTCAAATCGAAAAGCGCTGGTAAAGATAAACGCCTTTGGGGTATCGAAGTCAATGGACGAGAAGGTTATGCTCCAAAAGATTTCATTCAGGAATATAAAGTTATGGTTAGGGATAGTGATTTATCATATGAGGTACCCGTTCCGTTACCAAGCTCAAAAGCAAAAGCTTCACCAGAAAATCCAGAGATTACACTTAAACCTTCGGAGAATATTGGCGCGTCCACAAATGAAATTGAGTCTACTACCACCACACCTTTAGAGCAACCGTTAGACGAAGAAAGCATTTTACAAAAGACTAGTTCGGATATTCATAAAAGTGAAGATTTGATACCTACACCTAAGAAAATTGAAGTGATCGATGGTACTGTGATTCCGGTGCTGGAAAATGTGAGTAAACTTTCCAGTGAAAAAGATGTTACCATCAACAATGGGGTGCCAGAAAATGTTGCGGAAAATAAAAAAGACATTATCGCAAATAAGGACGAAGCGATGTCAAAAGAAAATGCTATAGAAGCGGAAAGTAATGTAAAGGAAGTAAGCGAAAATATCACTTTAAATTCTCAATCATTGCTTGCTGATGATGATGATGATGATGAAGATGACGACGAAGATGAAAATGATGACGATGAATTCGACGATGAAGGTGAAAGTGTAGAAGAAGTAGATAAACTTCAAAATAAAATAAATGAAGACAAGAAGGACTCAATACTTCCGGAAATAAATATTCCGAATTCTGAATATTTGGCAAATACTATAAATGAAACAATTAACAAATTTGAAGATCCAACAGTGCCTAGAGACGAATTACATAAGAATGAAAGTACGGTATCCCTGATAGATAAAAATGAATCGGTTGAAGAAAACTTTTTAAAGGATTCCGTGGAGGAGTCTGCTACAACACCTACTGCTTTCCTTCAAAATCAAACTGAGGGAAGTGTTTTTGAGAAAGATGTAGAAAAGGTTGACGATTTAAGGGAAAATGAGGTATCTAATCTGGAGAACAAAATTTCCGCTGAGGACCTGCAAAATAAAGTACAAGCTTCGTTAGTACAAGCAATCGTTGAAAATTCAACTACAATCGAAGACGCCAGCGTGGAAGTCGCAACGGAGCCGTCAGTTACCGAATCTGGTTACCAGCATTACGTTCATGCACGCGATATAGAATTCGATACCACAACCATACCAACAGTAATTTTGCCGAATACACAGTCACCTGAATCGCAAGTTTCGGGTTCTTCTGAGGGTCCGGTAATAAGTATAACGAATATCGACATGGCTACAACTAACAAAGAAGTTCCTAATGAATCAAGCGAAACAGTACCAGTTCCTATTTCTTCAGCGGATGTTTTTCTGCAGGAAAATGAACCACTTCATACCATCCCTGAGGATATCACAGCTCAATCACTTTTGCCATCAAAATCATCTGAGATTTCGAACGAAGAAAGCGTCGACGAAAACGCATCTAATGCGGAACGAAATGTGCCTACATTACCGATATTACAAATTCCAACGCAAACCCAAAGTCAAACTATACAAGGAGAGCCAACTGCACAAGAACAAATACATACACCAGAACAACAGCACACATATCAAAAGCAACATCAAGATCCACTCTCGGAATCTCATACACAACAAAATGAAATTATCAATGAGACTGAAATGAACACTAAGGAAACACAAAATGTAAATTTGGAGAGCGAGATATTGGCTCAAACTCCTTATTTTCCAGAGTCAACTTTACAGAATGACATAAATCAAGACAAAACCTTTGAGGCGCCAACGCTTTCAACAGTGCATGAATCAACTGAAAGCAATAACGGCGATATTTTGAATTCCGCTGAAAGTATTGAAACAATACCTAATAATGTCGAAGATATTCAAAACAATGATTTAAATGTCGACAGTCATGCACCAGTTGATCCCGATTCAATTACCAATCTATCTGTAGAAGAAATCTCCCACACCATGTCTACACCGTCTATCGTAGAAAATTCTCCGTCTACGTCTGCACCGAAGAATATCATTGAGGAGGAATTCAAAGAGAAAGATCAAGGACTTTTTGCCACTATACTCGGCACTGTGAACAATTTCCTCTCAAATGGTAAAAAAGAAGATGTGAGTGTGACAGAAGATGAAGAGTTGCAACGGATACTATTTCCCGATCGGATCGCCAATAACAAGAAAGCTAAAGAAAATGGTAAGTCTGAAATTCACATATTTCAACGAATTGTTATCAAGTTATAATTATACATTTTTCATTGCAGATCCTGAGTATTGTGAAAAACTGTCACCAAATGACTGTCCCTCAAGAGTAATTGAAAATTTGAATAATGCCGCGTCGACATCTTCTATTGCTGGTTGTCAATTAGATATAAACAATATGTCCATGGACATGTTGCTCACTGTGGCGGGCAATAAAATGTTTGAAATGAGTGAATTGTTGGCATGCCTTGCTACAGTGGCGGTTACTTGTCTTTTCTTTTTATTCGTTTATTATTGTTTCTGTAATAGCAGCCGTGAGGGCGAGTTACTAGCTAAACTGAATGCATTGGAGCGCAGCTTGCTGGCAACACATAAGGAAAATGCAATACTAAAAGAAGACTTGATGGGTACACGTAACAAATTATCTAGCATTGAAGATAATTCATTCGGCTCGAATGATATGGTAATAGCTTTGAAAAAGGAGTTGGAAGAGGAACTGTTGGAAAAGCGTCAATTGCAAGAGCAAGTTGGAAATTTAGAAAAGGTATTTCAAAGTCTTAGTTATTTTATTTACATATATATTCACATTTTCTTTGTGCAGGAATTGGAAAATGCTGCTGAAGCTGGCTTAGAACTGAATAAAATTGTATCCGAGTTATTGAGCAATCAAACCGGCGATGAATCTATTATAAGCAGCGTTGAAGAATTGCAAAAGCAACTGAATGAACAGCAAAGTACAAAAATTTTTTATTCAACCTTAAATTTTCCATACTAATCATGTCTAAATGAAATTTACAGAGACTATTCTCGATATCAATGCCAATTTGGCTGAAAAGAGCCGGGAAAATAGCGAACTGCAGCTTATGATTGCTGAACAAGATGCACGACTCAACGGTGAAATTACTTCTCTACAGCAGGATAATGACGAACTCGAAGTGGAAAAGAGTAATTTACAAACACAATTAGAGGAGGTGAAACGAGAGTTTGAAGTAGATATAAGCAAAGCACTGGAGGGTAAAAACTTTGAGATAAAACGTTTGCAAAGCGAATTAGTTGAGCTAAGCACAAAGCTCGAGGCGGATCATACGAAGTATCAGACAAGCTTAGCCAAGGTGGAGGTAAACCAATACACAATTTTCTTTATAGTTTCTTTAAAATTAATTTATCTGACTGACATAATCTCTGGTTTATTTTAAGGCATTGGAGGAGTGTTTACGTACAGTACGTAGAGATCCAAATGGAAATATAAATCAAGTAATTGATGTAGCTAACGTACGCGCTGAATTGATAGATGTGCAAAAGCGATATGCCAGCCTAAAAGAGCGATTGGATACAGAAACGGTAATTGCAAGTTAGAGGCTTTGTAAAGCAATCAATTTAATTTATTATTATTACTATACATTGAAGGATGGCAAAAAGTTGATCGAGGAGCAATTAAAACTTGCAAGAAGCGAAAATGAAAAATTGAAACATGATTTCCACCAATCCGAAAAGGATAAGTTGGAGGCGCAAACACGTTTGGAAGTTCTTTCCAACTACTTTAAGGAAAAAGAAACGCAGCTGCAAAAGTAAATACAGAGTGTGTACAAATATATGCATAATAATCTAATTATTATTTTTTTTTTTGTTACAGAGAACTGAGTTTAAAAGAAGCTATGTGGCTGAAACAGCAGGGCGAAACCACCAGCACTGTGGATCGTGTAACTACAATGCAAGAAGAAATACAGGCATTAAAGTGGGTTTGAAGTTCTCAATTAAGTACGTATTTTGATAACAATATTTTCATGCTCCTTCAGATCACAAAACGATGCATTGCGCGCTGAAATTGAAGCACAACTAGCAGCTCACAAGGCGCAGACAGGTACCTTGGAAAATCGCGCACATGAAACATGGTTGGCCGCAAGACAATCAGAACGTCGCTATGAGGAGGCACGCGCCGAAGCAACAGCTCTCCGCCGTAAACTTACATCGCTAGCAGGTGTTGGTGGGGGAACTTCAGGCGAAGCAAACTGTAACATCTCAGACAACTGTAGTATCAATATTACTCTTTTAAATATTTCATTAAATTTTCAGTTGAAAAATTGGTCAGTACTGAATTGAATAATGCACCCTCTCCCATACACATGGAATCACCAGGTTCGCCGTTAATGGGTCGACTGCCACCACCACCTTTCCTGCCACCACCCTTTATGGGACCACCACCACCATTCATGGGTATGCCGCCACCATTCGTACCACCAGGTGAGATGCGTCCACCGCCATTGGGACGCTTGATGTCGCCACCACCAGGAGCTGGTAGCGGCGGCAGTGGCGGTAGTGCACATTTGCCGCCACCGCCGCAACGTACCGGTCGTTATTCACCCAATCGCACAGATTATGATGATTACGATGATGACGATGATGAAGATGACTATGTCGACGAGGACGATGAGGATGAGGAAGAGGAGCGTATGCGTCGTCGTCGCCATCGACGCGGTAGTGATATTAATGGCAGTTGGCATCGTGATGATTCATATTCACCACAACCGCGCGCCTATCGTTCACAATCACCCACAGACAGTCGGTATAATTACAACGCTGAACGTGATCTCATTTCAACATACGATACCGAAACCGATTTTGAACCATCACCCAGAAAACACGAACAGCGCGGTGCACGTGCACCACGCGCGGGCAGCTACAGAGGCTATTCACCCCAACCAACTGCCTCATCGCCTTTGAATGTGTCGGCGAACAGTAATGCCGGTAAAATGTATTCAGCAACAGCGTATAGCAAAGGTAAGATTGGGGGTGTAGAGTATGGTGGGCAATTGTAGTGTTGGCAGAGTATGACTGTAAGGAAATATTTAATAAAAAGTTGTGTTGTGTGAAATACAGATGAAATGTGATGTAAATATTCTTATAATGTAATGTAAAATTTTAGTATGAGATTATTTTGTCTTCAGTCTGCTTCATTACATTAGCATTTATAATCTAAATTAAGTTTCTCTACAGAATATAATTGATCCAAGGAAAACAGTTTCATAGCGTTGATAAGACATTAAAAGTAGAAAATACTTGGCTTTATGTTGTGTATCTCTATACTAATAATTTTTGTGCTTTTATGTTATTTTACATACACATATTTTGCAAACCTATGAAGAATTCTCATCAATCAACATTTCTAGAATACATAAATTAACGAGAGGTGTGTGGAATGTTAAACTGTTGCATTTGATTTAAATAGTTACACGTGTATTTCTGAATATTTGTCTACTTTAGTTTAATTAATACAACATTTGCTACAACATATTTACTCTTCTTTACAGATCATTTGAGTTCGGGTTCGGAAAAGTCATATAATTCACCAACATCACAACGACATGGGGGCAAGAAGGGCGGCAAGTCGGCGGTCTAGGTGACTGGACTTAAAATGCATTTGCCAATTTACGAATTGTTTATTTGCCTAAGAGTGGGAGATTAAAAAATATATTGAATAAGGCTATCGTATAGTTAAATAAATTGTTATATACCTAGGAACAGAAAAAAATAATGATAAGGAGAGCAAAATAATAATATCAATCAGAAATAATAATCGCAGTATCAAAAGTCATACACCAAATTATGCATTCAAATACGAAATATCGCCATAATACACACACACACACACACACACACACACACACACACACACACATACATAATCGCAACACATAACGAGTATATAAGAATGGTTATGAATGATGTTTGCTATCGGGATTCCACATTATGCCAAACCTAATGTATTTACAGCATTTCACTTTTACACTTTTTAACTCGATAATAATTAAAAAATAAAAATTTTCGAAATTCACCAAAATCCCCATTTTAGTTTTTGTTAATAAATTAATAAATAATTTTTATTGTAAATGTTTGTAAACGGTTTGAATTGCTGTTCGATAGTGTGTGATTTGTTTTTGTTTATGAAATCAACTTATTATGGCGTCAGCAAGCATTTGCAGTTGCACTGTTATACACGAAGGTTGGAGTAATCACGAATGTACTTCCGAATGACGCTAGTGTAATCATTTTTTGCTTTTCTGTAAAACTAATTAAGTCTATGTTGTTAACATATGTAAATGAGAGTTTTATTTCAAAAAAAAAAAGAAAAAAAAAACAAAAAAAATAGGAGTCATGTAAAAATATCTGTCGCAATAAAATGAACTGAGTATCTACTTAATTAAAACGAAAAATAAAATTCATAACTACCAAAAACCGTGAAAAAAACTGTTTCTTTTTTAGGGTCGAGTTCACGTAAGTGGGTGAAGTTTTGACGTTCTTCACCCGGTAGTGGCCAGATACAGTTCCACATAGTTTGAGTAGCTCGCGACTTCCGATCTTATAATCAACAGTCGGTTCTTCGTAGAGTTTGGAGCACACCACTAAATAAAATATGCCGGAATGAAAAAATTGAAGCAATATGCCTTAAATAAGTAATACCACAATTCATTAAGACCACTATAAACGTTTTAAGGATCACGACAATCGTGAAAATTAGGACTGGTATCAGCGCCATTGCCGAAATGCGATGAACGGAACAGAAAAGGGGATGATCTTGTGGATTTTATTATGAAATTAGGAAGAAAATTGGTGTGAATTGAGTACTTTTATTCAGTCTGGTGGGTGTACGTCCAGGTACAATCCGGAATAAGCAAAGTTTTTAAAGCTATCGTTGATTCGCAGCCACGCTCCGGCGGAAGAGATCGACAAAGTGACGAAATATTCTTTCTAAACATGCCTGGTACGTACCTCAGTACTAGGCAAAATATCTACCCTCATCTTTGGTTTAACAGTCGGAAAAGTCAGCGAATTCGAGTTAAGGCTAAACGACTTTGCCCTGGACCGAAATAGCATTGTCTGTATTACTGCAGTTCAAGCACTAGAATATTCATCAAGATCGGAAATTTCGCAACCAAATCAATTAAGTTGTGAGTGAAAGGAGACATGTCACTAGAGTAAGCTTCGAAGTCCTAACACCGACTCGGAAAGCTGCAAACACAATAGTCAGGCAAAGACTTGCGATACGGTCTCCCGGTATGATGGGGGTTTGAGAATTGATAGAAAAAGTTGAGCTGTTAGTCAACAGGAGATAGAGCATTTCTCTTCCTTCCTCATCCACTTCCTAATTGCAGTGAAAATGAAACTCTCGGAAATGGCGAAGCCCTCATACCGTATGACTATGAAATAGGCATTCCATCGCCCGACAGTGATTGGTTTCAATTAGCAATTGCACATCTGAAGGACGGCAGGGAAGATCATCCACTAACGAAGCAATTCAAAAATAATGGTGAAGAAGTTCCGATCGATTCCAATAACGAATCACTCATGTCAAGAGGTGCTACTTTGATTTAGGTAGATAACTGTAAATTAAAGTCCTCTCACGACGACAAAAATCAAGGTCTACAGACTACTACTCATGCTGCGAGTCAACAATAATGCCATTCGGGATCAGTTAGAGACACCAAATGAAGCTTCGTCTGATCTTTCTAAAGAGTTAAGGTACTTCTCTCATCGATATACGCCAGCAGCTTATAGATGATTGTACGCTGACTATTTACTTAGCTCTACACTTCTTATTATTATCATCAAAATTAGGGTGTAAAAATCATTCTATAGGGTATCACCTTGACTGAAGACTTGATTAGTACCGAACGACTCGGAGAGGCCCTTCTCAGTTCTGACAGGCTTTTGGTCGTATAAGTTTTGCGGTGGAATGAAACTCAGACATATCGGCATATAGATAGCTTCTTTTTGTGTTGGCGGAGCTTTAGGTAGCTTCAAAACATGAAAAACGGCAGTGCGTGTTGATCCATTGCCACGTGATGCAGGTATGCATATCAAGGGAGAAATATCTAAACACCTTGATCTTCAGACTCTAAATTAGTCGTTAAGAAAATTTTTGCTGTGGAAAACTTATGATCCGGCGAGGTATGGAAATCCAGATGCCTTTGACGGAGATTCAAAGACCTTAAGAGTTTATTTTTAAGTCTGGCAATGATGGATGATAAAAAAGTTTTCTCTTTCTAGTTTGAAGGAAAGAAATAATGTGGAATATTCGAAATTTGCTGCAAATAATAATCATTTTGTTTTTGTCTACTAAATCTACACATTCGCATGGATTTGAAAGCACTACTTCTGAATTCCATATCTAGTAAACATCCATTGGTACTCAATAGACGCATGCATATTGGAAAATGCTGGTAGGTTGTTTGATATTGTGAACGATTGATATAAGAAATGCAAATTAGTTTGCCGTTATTTCAGTTATTCAGTTACTTTCGAGGTCGATGGTAAAATGTTAACCGTTATGCGCATTAGGCAAGTTTATACCAAAGCGCCACTTATGATGCGCGTGCAACGACGTCAACGATTTCTGCAGAAGCTGAAGAGCAGCTCTTCAATAAGCCTCAGTCATAATCTCAAACCGCATCCCTCACCCACGCGTACCATTTTACCCGAATTCGCCGATTGTGCTACACAAACAACCAAACCACAAATGCGCAGCCGCTCGACCGGCACGGAACAGCAGATTCTTGCAGTTCATCGACAGCAACAGACCATACGACGTGCGCTGCGCAAACAGGGCACCCAAACCGATCCAAATACGCTGTGTCAGGGCGTTCAAACCGTTCGACGAATTGTGTCACGCGGCACGCAGACCAAGGAGACTTGCCTTGAGGTGGCTGCATCACAGACCGAATACTATTGCTACAACAATCAAGTTCAAACGGAGCCGCTCGAAACTGAGCCGTGTGATGAACGTGAAAAAGAGGCAGTGGTGTTTATGCTTAATGAAATTGGCGAAATGATCATCAATCAGAATCATTTGCTGCAGAATAATACCACATTGTTGAATCAGATGTCGGAGATGACGCTGCTGAATAAGATGGCGGCGCAGCAAACGTATGTATTCCGTGCGACTATTTTGATCACTAAATAATATTGAGAAATATATTGAGTCTATTTCTTAGAAACTGCCAAAAACAGGAGAAAAAGTGTAAACTCAATCGACTCACACGAAAGCGCGGCAGACTTCGTTATTTGCCAATGCCACAAAGACCACCGCCGCCAGTGGACAAGAAGTGGGTTCAAAGCTGAAACAAAGATTGTTGGCGTGCAAATGAATGAATTGATTTTCTATTTTTGCTCTTTCCAGAAGTCAATTTAGCCAAACTATTTATCCGATTGGTCTCTCCAGTAAAACGACGCAAACGCGCCAAGAACACCATCAACGTAAGCGTTTTAGTCTGTTTTGTATTTAAGTCAAACGAAATTACATTGAAATGAATTGAATGTTTCATAATCGAAAATAAAATCAGATTTTTTGCATTTCGATTGCGGTAAGAATTATGAAATAGTCTTGGTGCAATGTAAATCTCCTTGCTTCGGTGAATTCCATAGACGTGTTTATACACATATTTCCGATTTTTATCGCTTGCTTTGAATAATTTTCTGGCACAAAAAGTTAAATACGCACGCCAATTAAGATCGGTGATTTACTTATTGAATCACATTAACAAGCGGACCTCCCGTCTCCAGCAATACCCGGTAGTGAATCACATGCTTGAACTTACCGTGAGTCGTAAATCATGACAATGTCATGTTGGTGTATTCATATTTAATAATAGTAACATAAGCTACTTTTGCCTTCTCTTGACAATGAAGCGAAGTATATAGGTCTGGTAGTGAAAGAGGACAAGTCGAAATATCTCCTGTCATCAAGCGAACACTTGGCGCACTTTCGTTGTGGCTCCCAAGGCACTGTTTACAGTCATAACTACCAAAGTCATCGATAAATTCGTCTAAATGGCAACCAGCATTAACATAAATAACAACGTCAGCCTTGAAATCTAGCGCAGATTCATACCAGCCAACAGGTACTACTTTGGACTGAGGTGGAGAGTGAAAAGTAAAGTGCTCTTTCTCGTCGAATCAAACCAAAGTCTACTAGTCGCTACTATATGTCGCAGAAGCGTGGACGATGTTAACATTTGATGAATCGATCTTGGAAGTCTTCGTGAGAAAGGTTTTGCGAACGATTTATGGTACTTTGTGCATTGGCAACGGCGCATACCGCAGACAATGGAAAGACGAGCTGTACGAGCTTTGTGATTATATTGTCATAGTTCAGCGTATGAAGAGATAGCGGCTAAGCTAACTAGGTCATGCCCTCCGAATAGAGGAAAACACCTCAGCTTTGTAGGTATGCGATGAGGTAGTCGCTGATGGAAGCAGAAGAAGAGAAAGATCTCCACTCCGTAGGAAGGTTCAGGTATAGAAGGACTTGGGCTGTTCTTTGTATTCCCAATTGGTGGCAAACAGCGAGCGAGAAAGAACGAATGGCGCGCTATTGGAATATACTGATAACGATAAAATCAACATTTCCTATAATCGCTGCAGGGCATTCTAAAGTAATTGCTTCCGTCATGTACATATTTCTACTTACAAATTTATGCAAATATTTTGCGCAAAAAACTTTCAAACAACACTTTTTTTTATCAGAACGATTCATGTGAACTCAATTTGAGATTAATTAATATTCAACGAATTGCATTTAATTTTTATTTCTGAGTAAATTAGAGCGATTAAATATCGGTGATATATGTATTATCTCTCGAAATTCTTTTATACCCTTATTATATTAAAGTGATTGAACGATAGCTTGATGAACTCTTTCATCAGCTTGTGAAGAATTCTCCGCTAGAACCAGCCGGCACAGCTCCAAATGCAGGAGGATGGATGACAAGTAACGTTTAAGGAGGGCGAATAATGCAGGAATATCCGACCCGCCATTAGAACGTAAAACAAAAATGGCAGACCGAGTGGGCGGCGGGTCTACTGCGTTTAGCTAGGTCTAAAACAACTCTACAAGCATCTAGGGTACTGCTATATCTTCTAGGCCGAAGTGTTCGCTATACCACAAGTTGCTGAGTTAGTTGGCAATGCCGAAAACTATATGAAACAAATGTCTATAACCAATTATGGCAGTAATTTCACGTCGCATTGCGTCAGAAAATGTCCTTAAAAATACAGAAGCAGTAGATAGGACGGACGAGGGTAAACGGTTCCCGGGTTCTAGGCGACAACGGTCAAGAGAGAAGTAACTGTGACAATGTTTAGATGATGATTTTATCATGAATGATAATAAAACCAAATATAGAATTTGGGGGTTTGTCTCAAGAAAGGCTAAGCACCGTGATCTCAAGAATCAATTGAAATTTGCCCCTTTAAAGCATATTTTTTAAGATATGTGGTTTTCAAGAAGAAATAAAACGCATATAGTTTAACTGAATGCTCTCTTCCAAGGAAGACCTTAATCGCCTCGATCTTATCTTATCCGCACAAAAAATAGTTGCACGTTCTTGGAGGCCACGCCACAGGCCCAACGGGGGGAATGCACTGACCACAAGCTTACTCCAAAAATATATTACCGCACTTGTTGATTCTTCGGCTTCAATTCTTTCGGGAGTTGCATTTTGCAAGTCCGCTAGCTCGCTCATGTCTCCAAAGGCTGCTGCTTCTAGAGACTTCAACCTACCTTTCCAAAGTGCGGAGTATTCGCACAGGTAGTGCCTTAAGTTTTAAGGTTCCTCTTATTGTCTGCAACTATTGGAAAAGTTGATGAATGGTACGCTTAACCTGTAAACGAAAGCATTTGCCAATCCCAAGATCCCTCGAGTAAACTACGCCCCCGTATAAAAATAAATCCTATCTATCCCAGACACCTATCTGGAAATCTGTCATGAAATAATTGAATAATATGCAATAATCATTTTTTCTGGTAGATTGATCCTTCTTAAGAAGTTAGTAAGGTCAATACGGAATAGATCCAAGAGAACCATATAACCTCAGTTGGTGTGGTACGTAGTTTGTCTGTCCTGCTGTCCTCCATGAATTCTGGTGGTTATGCTTTTCTCGAGTGTTGGTCAACAAACTTCAACTCCATAGAGAAGTATAGGACTGGCAACTGCATTGTAAAGCCAAAACACCATCTTCCGTGGCATGCCCCATTTCGTCATTTTGCGCCTTACGCCACCTTTCCTCCGAGTTCTGTGACAAGATCAATTTTCTGGCCAGAATGAGTACTAGATATTTTGGAGGCTCAGCAGTGCGAAGCGCCGAGTAATAGAGCATAGGTGTTGAAAACCTTGGAATTACATATATTCTCTGGTAAAGAGAACAAGCAATATCTTCTTGATCCAGTCCACTTATCTATCCGTCTCGCATGATATCACATAAAGTTTGTGAGAATTTGCTTTCGTCCACATATGCTATGACCTTATAGCATCCATCTCATTCAAATTTAGTAGTTGGTTAATATTCCAGACCCATGGTAAGGGCGAGAGGCCTTCACGTTGAGGGGTTCTATACTGGCGTAGGCACCGTTTGGGCAATGATAGCTGTGTCAATAACATTATGCCATTAATTTCACTTCTATTCGCTGCTTCGTCAGGTTCTTCTCTACATGGTCATTCCAGCGGAGTTTAGGTCTTCCACTATCTCTGCATTCACCGGCGAATACTGCATAGAAAAACTTTAATGTTGGAGTATTCTTATCCATTCGGACGACATGACGAAGTCAGCATAGTCGCTCTTGATTCGCTGAACTATGTAAATGTCGTCGTATATCGCACCATCGGCTGCAGTATTCGCCGTTATCCACGAGCAAAGCAACATAAATCATATGCGAAAACTTTCTCTCCTAACGGCGACTCATCAGCTGTTGCCATTGTCCATGCCTCCGCACCATACTCGTATAGCAGGACGGAAATGATGATCGCCTTGCACAGTTTGAGCTTTGTTCGTCGAGAGAGCTTTTTACTTTTCAATTGCCTACTCAGTCCAAAGTAGATTTTCTGTGCTGATATTGTTGTTGATTTTAAGATAGACGACTTTGAAGGTTATAACTGTCAACGGTGGCGTTGGAGCCGAGCCACGAATGCGATGACAGGAGATATTTCCTCTTGTCCTCGTTCACTACCAGAGCCATTCGCTTCACGGCACGGTTGTTGAGTCCAATGATGTCATTATCATCGACGTACGAGGTGTGCTTGCGAGTTTTGAATTTTTGCGAGTTACGTATAATCGAATTTTTTTTTTGCCGTTATGTTGTTTGTGTTTGTGGCGTTATGTTGGTACTCATGTCTGTCACTTATGCCGACAAGCTCGGCCATTTTGAATGTTCACTTAATTGTTGACAGCTGCTTTGCTTGCACGTGTTTTGGATGGTCTTCGATTTTTACCTATTCAAAAAGATGGATCAAAGAACCTGTATCAAATTTTGTGTGAAAAACGAAATTAAGTGCTCGGATGCATTCCGAATGTTGACTGTGGCATGCGGAGAAGCTACCTTGGACCGAAGCAACGTTTATCGGTGGTACAAAATGTTCTCAGAAGGCCGAGAAGATGTGTGCCGGACGCCCGAGCACTTCAACAACAGACGAAAAAATTAATTGCAGGGGCGTGGTGCATCATGAATTCTTGCCACAGGGTAGAACTGTCAATAAGGAATATTACCTGCAAGTTATGCGCAATTTGCGCGAAGTAATCCGCCAGAAACGCCCTGACTTGTGGAAGAACAAAAATTGGCTTTTGCACCACGATAACGCCCCTGCTCACACATCAGGCCAAAACAAAACACACTAATGATGCCGCAGCCACCGTATTCTCCAGATCTGGCCCCCTGTGACTTTTTCTTGGTCCCTAAACTGAAGAGGCCCACGAAAGGACGACATTACGCTACGATTGACGAGATAAAGACGGCATCGAAGGAGGAGCTGAACAAGATAAAAAAAATGATTTTTTGAAGTGGTTCGAAGATTGGAAAAACACAAGTGTATAATATCTCATGGGGATTACTTTGAAGGGGACAAAATAGATATTCATAAATAAATAAATAAATAATTTTTGAAAAAACACAAAATTCGCGATATTTTTTGAACACACCTCGTATGTCAGCAGCTGTCTACTCTTAAATAAGGTTTTGCTTCATTGAAAATCACACGTCCAATAGCATCCAGTTTAAAAAATACCTACGGAAGGTTAATTCTCATAACTTACCCACCGAATATTCCTTCCACATGAATATACCATTTGTGTCGCTTTAATTCCTCAACTGCATTGCTTTATTGGCAATTTAATAAATTTATTTTTTAACAAACTAATAAAGGTACTTAGCAAAAAACAAAAAAGTTTACAACTATTTTTAACACAACTATCAAAGTAGTCTACATAATTCAACGAATAGGCAATCGGTTATTGGCTGAGTGTTTCCCAGTCTGCGCGAACTAGATACACCGAAAGTATTCGTTAATATTCTGTACAAAGAAATGCGTATTTATTCTTAAAAAAAAAAAAAAAAATAGTTGATATGTATTGTAATATTTACATACATATTTACATAAGTATGTACTACAAGTGCTTGTAAAATTAGGAATAACTACAAACTGCATCGTGCAGTGGATGTTTAATTATTTATATATATGTACACACAAGGATAGGAAAATATAATAAATATACATATAACTTTATGGTAAGACATTTTTTCTTAGCATATACATAAGAACATTTCCTTCAACAACTCCCCCGACTCGCCGTTTTTTCAGCCGAGGTTAGAAACTGTTTCGAATTTTCAATTTTTCCTTCAGTTGGCAATCCGAAAAAAGTGTTCTAAAGCTAACTGGTTTTTGCATATTTTTTTTTATTCGCAGTTACAATCAATAAATCTACGCTACAAACTACATACGCAGGCAACGTGGCGGAACCAATAGTCAGCCAGGTCAGGTGGCACATAATGGGCTGCCACTATTGCTGCTGCTGTCACGTTTGAAGCCCAGTTCCGGCGGCGTGTAGTACACACTCTTGTCGCCTGATTGTCGCGAGCTGCGAGTCATGTTGCGATTTGTCGACGTCGTTGTTGTTGTTGTGGTTGTTGTTGCTGTTGTAGCACTTGTGATACTAGTTATCGGCACTTGAGTTGTCACCGTCTCATCAGCACCTTTACAATTTTCTGCCAGCGTTGATGTGAGTTCCGCGTCCGCAATAGTTTCTCCGGTCACCGCAGTCACTTCGCCGATGTCTGTCTCTATTTCAGCATCCGCATCCGTTTCCACTTCCGCTTCCTGTTCTAAATACAAATCATTTTGCACTATTTGCAAGACACCACCACTGGTTGATGAATCACGATCTGAACTACTCGACGCGGAGCTTCGTGTGGAAGGCGATTTTGGCGCGTTCGCTTGATTAACAATAGTCGGCGTTTGTGTTGTTTGGAGGCCAGCCGCCGCAGCTGCTGCGGCACTGAGTGGCAATTGTGTCACTTTACCCATAAAGGAACGTATCTCTTCAAAGTAGGACTCTTCATTAGGATTATCGCAGAAGCCACCGCGACGTAGACCGCGTATACGCTCGTTCATGCCCAAGCCGAGCGATACGGCATCGCTTTCGTGTTTTTTCAAATGCCTATCCAAATTTGTCTGCTGACCAAAGCAACGCTCGCAGATCTCGCATTTGAAGGGTCGCTCTTTGTTGTGTATGTTGCGCACGTGACGCTGTAGATTCGAGGATATGCTGAAGGAACGTTCACAGTATTTGCACTTGTACGGCTGCTCGCCGGTGTGCGTGCGTAGGTGGCGAGTTAGATTGGCGGAGCGCGGAAAGACTTTGCCGCAAAACTTACAAGTATAGCGATCTTTGCTTTTGTACTGCGCCGTTGCGGTATTGGCTGTTGCATTCGCCGATATGCCGGCACGTGAAGCGCTCATCGATTTCTTGCTGTTGTTGTGGTGTGCAACTACACCATCTGTGCCGAGAGAGGAACGGCCGCCCGGACCGGTGGTAAGTTGTTGTTGTTGACGTACATGGTGATTTATCTGCTGTTGATTGTGGCTGTTGGTTTGTTGCAAGTGTTTCAGCGTGCCACCCGCATCACTGCCGCCGAGCGCGGCTCCGCTACCGTTGCCCCCGACATTTAGTGGCGCTTTATTTGCACTGGCATTTATATTGGCGGCGCCATGGGGGTGTGTTAGCGCATCTGAGAGAGCATTACGACCAGAGCCGCTGTCATAGTGAAATTCGAGAGTTGGCTCGTTACGCAGTTGATTGTGTAGCATATCCTTTTGCATGGGTGGCTGTAGAAAAGGAAAGGTGTTGGTAGGGGATGGACGCGGCAGCACAAATGGATTGCGGTACGGCAGCGGTATGGCTTTAGCCATCGCTTCTAGCAGTGTTGGATGCAGAGCAGACGATACGAAGGGTAATCGATCTGCAGCTGCTGCTGCAGCGGCGGCATTTAAATGCAATGACTCGGAGATACGCAAGCATGCCACACCCAGCTCGGACTTTTGGGAGCGTAAGCGTTGTTTATTCTTTCCACTTAAACTATCCAGATTTGCGGTGATGGCATCGAGACACAGCGCCGGGAGGGTGTTGTTATTGAGTTCCTTTTCACAACTGATGTCCGTCGTCGGTGGCGAATCTCGTTGTATGCGACTGTTGAAAGTGCGCGTTTTCTGCGACGTTGTATGGGCACTAGGACTGCTATGACTACTAGGCGACGCAGCGCCGTGACAATTGGAGTTGCTGCTGTTGGTGTTGTAATTTGTTATGCTATGTATGAGATTGCTATTCTCATCCTCCAACGGTGAGGATGCACCACTTGCGCTAGATCCATCGTGTTTTTTATGCGCCAGCCGCAAGTCGAGCGGCTGATCATAACTACTACAGCGTTTGCGGTTCTTGGCTTCTTTGTGGCTTTGACTTAAGGCAGATAGAGTGAGTGAGAGTGGTGACGTACTCGCGGCAGCCGACGAAGTGCGCGCTGCCGTCACCGACAGATCATAAGGTACTTGTGATGCATATGTAGTGGCGGGCACAAGGCCTAACAATGGATAAACGGACCCTTGCTTAGGGCTGGGCAGCATTTTTCTTGGCGAATGGTCCTTCTCTCTCATTACTGGCGTCTTTCGGTTTGTGGTGAATTTGTTTTTGGCTTACTGGTGATGTTCAACTGCTCGTAAACGTTGGGCAAACTCATTACACTAACTGCTCAAGCATAAGAAATGGGGAGGCGCGAGGCGGTGTTTCTGAGATGCGTTCGAAATCTCAATTGGGCTGTAATTAAAGAAAACAAGCAAAAGAAGAGGAACGTTTAAGCAGTTGTTAAAACAAGTAAAAAGGGTTAAGCATGTGTAGTTCATAATTAATGAGGGGGAGGAGGGATTGTAAATAAATATAACTATGTATATATTATCAAAACATTTGTTTATTATTATTTATTTTAGTGTTGTAGTTGACAATGAAATTGTTGAAACAAATGAGTTGTCAAAAAACGGAGTTTCATTATTAAAAAAATTTTATGGAAAAATACCAACTGATGTGGCAACTGAACGGCTGAACATGGATTTTTGAAAAAGCTAAAATGTGTTTATATATGTACTCGTATGTATGTATATAAGTAAAGGTAGCTAGGTATTGTGCTATGTACTGACATTAGATGCTTATGAAAGAGCGTCTTTTTTTGCCGTATGTTTTAAATTTTGGACGATAAAAAAGTGAAATTTGCGTTTATTTTTGCTAAAAATATATATATATGTATATATATAAGGTTGTCAAATATCTCCCTTCCGCTTTTTTGCTCTTCATTCAATGCTTTATAAAAAGTGTTACAGTGATCGGATTTAGTTAAAATATGCGCCTTTTTGTTCGATGATCTGTTTCCATCTAGACGGCAACTTCATAATACCTTCCTCGTAGAAGCCCCCCTCCTTATTTGCGAAGAATTCGGACAGCCACTTTTCACAAGCCTCTTTTGAGTTCAACTTAACACCACCAAGGGCATTCGCCATGGACAGGAACAGGTGGTAATCACTTGGAACTACGTCCGGGCTATATGGTGGATGCGATAAACCTCCCATCCGAGCTCCCGTAGCTTCTGACGAGTCATCAACGAAGTGTGTGGTCTGGCGTTGTCCTGGTGGAACACTACACCCGTCCTGTTGGCCAATTCTGGACGCTTCTGGTCGATCGCCTGCTTCAAACGGTCCAGTTGTTCGCAGTAGATGGAAGAATTAAGCGTCTGGCCATATGGGAGTAGCTCATAGTGGATGATTCCCTTCTTCCTGGCCGTCAATCCCGGCTTGGCCACTGTTTGGGACGATTCATCGGCCTTCGACCACGACCGTTTTCGCTTGATATTGTCGTATGTGATCCATTTTTCGTCGCCAGTCACCATCCGCTTCAAAAATGGGTCGAGTTCGTTCCGTTTCAATTAGACGTGCAAAACAAGCGCTTAGTACTCATTTTTGCACCATCCATTATTCGCTCATATTTTTGCTCTTCTCCCTTTCTTATCAGTAATAGACGTGCAGATTTACCGTTAAGTGCCTTTTGTCAGAATTCAGAAAATCACTCTCTTCCACTATTTTATAGTTGCTTTGTTGAATTTAGAACTTAGTTTCTAACTCTTCACAGAAAAATGAAGAAAATAGTATTATCTCCGACTAAAGGTGGGTGTTCGACACGAAGCTGCAAATTAGTCAATCAGTGGTTGTCAAGGTGCAGAAAAGACAAAATGTTTGTGCTGAAAAGAAGTTGAATGGTCGCCGTTGCCTTCTAACAGACTCTGACGCTCGACTTATGATGTCTAAAATGAGAAAAAATAGTTAAAATTCGCCAAGAAACACAAGAACTGGACAATAGAAGACTGGAAACGTGTTATCTGGTCGGACGTATCTAAGTTTAATCGATTTCAGTCGGATGAAAAGTAATACTGTTGTCGGAGACCTGGTGACAAACTTCAAAGGCATGATGTGAAGTAAGCCGTAAAACATGGAGGCGGCAAGATATTGGCTCGGGTTGTTTCACGTATTCGCTCGTTGGAACGTTGCACAAAATTTACGGGATTATGCAAACCCCTCTTCCCAATTTTCTTGACCAGTGTGAGTACCCAGAGCAGGAAAATACTTTTCAGCAAAATGGGGATCCCAAGCATACTGCGAAAATTGTTAAAGAATGGCTCGGAAACCAAAATTTTAATATGATGGAGTGGCCAGAGCAAAGTCCCGACCTCAATCCGATTGAAAACCTATGGTCAATCGTAAAGCGACGGCTCGGACAGTATTAATCAGGCCCATCCAACTTCTTTGGGGGCGTGTTGAACAAGAGTGGAATAATATTCCGAAAGGAATATTCGAAAAATTAGTTGAAAGTATGCCAAAACGTAGGAAAAATGTCATAGAAAATAAGGGTTCCAGGACCAAATATTAATAATGAATTTATTTTGTATTTTTTCTTAAATAGCGCAAAACTGGGTACATGTCGCTTGAATAGTTACTCTTCTTTAGCTTCTTCAATTACTTTCTGTCTTACGCCTTGTTGTTACAAATAAAATACTAATAAAAAAATTTTAAAGTTTTATCATTTTCTTCGTTTGTTTAGTTTTTATGTGCTCCCAAACATGAAAACGTTGATCGTGGACTTTTGCTCCCCACTGTATATACGAGGGTATTAAAAAAAGGTGGACAGAAAATAGAATCGTTTTGTATTTACTCGTAATCTTTGTAATTTTTTATTTTCTCTACTTAATTGCCATTGATTTCAATGCATTTCTTAAGCCCATAGATCCACTTTTGAAATCAGTCTTCAAATTCTTCGGTAACGACTTTACTAAATTTCCCCTACGAGCAGATTTCTTCGTGTATCCCAGATGTTTACTTAATATTCGCGATACATCCATGGCATTTAAGTCCAATTCAATAGCAATCATTTTTTGTGCCAATCGTGGGTCTTTGTCAGTTTTAGACTACAGTGACGTCATCAGTGAAATATTTTGGAAAAATATACAGTCTGGAATCTTCTTCTTAGTCTTCAAAAACGGTGGAATCGTTTCATATGCAATTTGGCAGACAAATAATGTAATTGAAAATGATTTGGTATTTTTAGATCTAACAAAAACAAATTGAAGGTCACCAACTGACCGAATTTTGTTAAGCTCCGTATTTTAAAAAGCCCACAATTTATTTCATTTTTTTTGGAACAAAAGAGCACTAGTAGTTTCTTCTTTCCATCACCTAGGTAGTTCCGGCCGCGAGTACTCGATCTAAAATACTCCACTCAGTTCCATAAAACAGAACCGCTGGAAATGATGATATACCAATAGGCCCTACGCGTTATTCACAGAGAACACCTTTATAAACTCTCTTGCATTGCTTGCTTGGAATACAAGCACACCCGCGTAGCAGGGGAAGAGCTTGGAGCTGCCTCGCGAATACACTCGGAGTGGTGGACGTTCCCTGCCGTGGAGCGACCGCAATTGAAAAATTTAACATAATTTTTTTAAACTAATGTTTGTGGCACCGGGATTCAAACCCGAGCCTTCCGAATGTCAGTAACATCGCGGCTACCGCGGCTGCCAGTAATACGCATAATTAAGGCTCGTATAGTGTATACTTAAAGATAAAGGTGGTGGTGTCGATGTTTATTATTGCAAAAATAATGGATTACTTTTTACTAGATTAAATATAATGTTTTTGGAAAATACTGTTTAATTAACATGTTATTTGTATTGAGAGAAGTTAATAATTTTTTTATTAAGTATTTTTTGAAATCAATAAATACGATACCCTTTTTTCGATAAACTTTATTTTTGAATTCAAAGGATTTCGATTAAATTTAGTCGAAATTTTTTTTTAACTTTTATTTATACTTTTATGCATTTTAATGGGATTTAATTGTTTCCAATTGATAATATTGAAATTGGTACTTCTAACGATTATTTATGCTGCAAAAATATTATAGAAATAAAAAAATTTTGATAAAATCGAAAATCGATAGATAAAAATTATGGGAATGAGGAAACATCGAGTTGCTTTTAATGGAATTACTCGTTGTGGTTGTGAAAATTTTTTTTATCGAAAATTTTTCTTGACGAAATAAGCCACCGAAATTTCAAAATGGCTTATCAAAACTATTCTGATTGCGTTTGTTACTGTTAAGCTTAAAGCTCAAGTGCATATGCATCTAGTAAGCTTTCATTATTCATATAGCTACGTAAGTGAATTTGAATAATGTCATTCTGAGTTTTCTTTTTTTTTTAATTATTTATTCATATCTATCTGTTGTTAGTTATGAACAAATGTTTATACTTGCTCGTACAAATTCGAGCACATACGAGTTTGTATGTATGGGCGAGTATGTGTGTATGAAGTCGAAACAAGGTGCATGGAAACAAGAAACATCGTTTGTTATTTATTGAGCTTGAGCTAAATTGCTTCCGTCAATTGCTGATATGTGTATTTCAATTAACCATATTTATATTTATGTCATCGTTGTTGCATTTGTGGGCGCGGTTTCAAACTGCTTTCACTTACTCGCACACTGTTACCCTGTGCCGACTCACTCATAGCTACTGCGCTGGCGAAAAGTTTGACATTTGACAAAAAAGCTTTGAGATAGGTTGACGATTTGAAATTGAAATGAATTTTGTTTCAAAACTGTATGTCGGATTGTAGTATAATGGTTAGGTGTATTTTTAAAGAAATTTTTTTTTGGTGAAACTTTAAGCATTTTCATGGTAAAAATATTAAAAAATAGCTTTGCAGAGAAGAAATAAATTTTTAATATGTTAGTTTTAGCTGTATTGGAACTTTAAACATCTATACGGACGAATCGAAAATGGATAAAGGAGTGAGCACCAGTATCTATGGTGTGGAACTAGACTGCAGGCAAATCTTCAAACTTTCAGAATACTGCCGCGCTTAGAAAAGCTGCACAGGAAACCAAATAAAAAAATTTTAATACGGGTATATACATACATATGCCGATATTAAAGCAGCAATTATGGCATCGCATTGCGTCAAAGTATGTCCTAAGTAGCAAGAAGGTCGTAGATATATATATATATATATATATATATATATATATATATATAGTTGTTTCCAGGCCACAAAAGCTTTGCGAAAAACAAAATAGTTAATGAGATTGTCAAAAGAACCATTCGCTTGGCTGTCACACCAGTGCATGATAAACGGAAGTCTCTAAAAAGAGAGCACAATGTAATTTTCGAAAAAGGTTGACAGTCACAACAGGATGAAATGGGATGCTTTAACAACTTGCATGGTTGTTGGCCCAATGACAGCACACAACCTTGTGGCATTATATGGTGTGCAGAGATGAAGGCATGAGTGAGACATCGGAACATCCCCTTGGTTTCTGTCCAACCTTAACTAAAACTCATCTGCGATATCTATTATCCTCGCATTTCATAGGAGTAGATAACAAGGCTCCTTTAAACTTTGAAAAATATGTTGACGTCCTAGGTGAAGACTACTTCAGCTCGTACTAAGCAGAACATTTATCTGGAATTACAAAGGGCAAGTAGGTTTTACAGCCAGCCAATATAATCCCATCTAACTGTTAGCTGTATTTTTTTTATTGCAGATAAAACTTTCAAAGAGGAGCTAGATTAGTTATCTAATTGCTGCAACATCAGCAAGATGATTGAGTTAAAAGACTTGAATGTTTCTCAGTTAAATGGCACCTGATTTGAGTAAAAGTTGGAAAAGTCTTAAGAAATTCATCGGACAACAGAATCTTTACATCAACAAAATTTTTTTGGATCATTAAGAAGATCTTTCAAAATTCTCCACCTGATCCTTTCAAATGAATGGAGGTTTTAAAGTTCCTCTGATTTTATTGGCGCATACTGTATCGAATACTTTCAAAGCTGGAATATTTAAATCCAATTCAACTATGTCAACTTTGTTGTACATCAAGTTCATCATCTGTGATATTGCCGTCCATTAATTGCCTCTCAAATTAACTGGACATTATGGGTGGTTTGGATTTTTTGCCAAAATATTTTATTTATCTATTCACTGGGAATCCGTATTGCCGAATTTCGAATTTTCATGATCACGTTCGAATTTATGATAGCCATTTCCCGAAGTTGTCACGTCATCAGCTTCGTAGGATTCATGATTGACCTGGAAGATTTTTCCGCATCGCCTTCAAGGCAGAGCTAAGAAAACCTAAAATTATTTTAATATATTTATATTAATTATTTTAAATGTACTTAAAGTTTTGCACAATTTTTGGAAAAATTAATTAACCAGATTGTTAATTATCCAAGAGAAATAATAATATAATTTTTTCTGAAAAGCCCCCTCCATTTCAACTGTCTTTGACAGCGAGTATTAACAAAAAGAGCGAGTCGGATAAGTCAGTTTTCTTAGAATGAGAGAGGGGAAAATCAACCTAAAGTTCGGAGAAATCCACAATTCCTTTATAGGTTACCGGACAAATATTTTGTAATTCTAAACGGAACATTAAATGCAACTTCAGAAATAAGAACGAAGCTAGAAATTGAATTTATTATTTTTTTTTTTTTGATCATGAAAATCACACCAAGCAAGAGCGTGACGAATAACAAGCTCTAGACCACTAGTATTAGGAGGAAGAATTGCCCTCTATTGTCGTTAAGTTTGAGCACGATCTGTCGTTTGATATGTTTACAGTGCTCAAAGTTGTCAATCAACATCAGTGCGAGTCAAACGTTCTCTGCTTTGTCTTCTATAGACTGAACATGATAGCCTCATAGCCTCGGTAATTTCTCTTTTGGAGAGATAGAAGTAGTAGTAGCCATAGAACGATAATATGTTCCGGAAATGAAGGGGGCTCATCATTTCAGGGCACGTTGGTACCAAGAAAGAACTTCCATACCACAAGTTTAAAATCTCTATTATTTATTTTAGTTTTCTCAACATTGAAAAAACAATTTTTCTATGAGGACTTTGTGAAGTTATATCACTGACAACTCCCCATTCAAAACTTCCTTTCGTTGTTAGGCACCAATTGGAAATATCAAGTACAGCCAGATCTTACACCGAACATTTAGCTCGTGGATTCACAACGCAGTCTCGTCGTCCATGAATTGGATAAAACCAACAACAAGGTAGAATCATTCTTGCCAGCAGGTGCTAATTTCGATTGAGTAGACAATTGAAAAGTAAAGTACTCACTCGACGAAAAAAAAAACTAAACTCTAAAAGTCGCTATTATTCCCATACTGCTATATGATGCGAAGTCATGGACGACGAGTTCCAAGATAGAAACAATTATCCATAATTTCCAAATTACGTCTGTCACAAGTGACGTTGGTGCCGAGTCGCAAGTGTGATGACGTGTGTTTGACGACAGGAGATATTTCGTCTTGCTCTACCAGACCTATACGCTTGGTTTCCTTACCCAATGTGGAGAAAGTAGAGTTCATAGTGCGATTGTTGGGGCCAGCATACGGCAGCATTTTTAAACTTTTATAGAAGATTGTAACTTCTGTATTCAGCCCTTCAGCTTTTTTTTATCCAGGGATCAATTAAGGAAATCACACGATAAGGGTTCACCTTGTTTGAAACTTCGTTCTGAGAGCTTATAGCAGACGTATATGTTTTGATGGATACCAAGTTCAGACATAGCGGTGTAGAGGCATTTTAGTGCTGTCAAGGGCCTTCAAATCGACTTGCTGCTAGTAGTCCGAGTCGATGTTGAACGTGCACACGTCAGAATGCCGTCTACGACAATATGATTGATCTGGTTTTTGGGTTTTTTGAACTGGATGAATCTAGTACTACAGAAACCATATTTCAGACCTTGGTGTAGTCGATCAGCATCCTTCCATTTGGGAATGTTTCGGGTGGAGGCTGAATTTTCCGTCACTTAAGGTGAAGATAACTTCTTTGTCCACCCTGGCGTTAAATTCGCTAAGTACAGTTTTCACATCGTGGCGGTGGCGACGCTTATTAGCGCGCTCCAGGCGTTCATTCTATGATTGCACTAATAAAATGCCTGAGGCTTTCGGTTTTTGTACGCATTAGCCTTGTTGGTTTTTGGAATGTACAAATATTTAAATAAATTTTAAAACAGGTGTTAAATGCCAATTTTTTTTTTCAAAACAATTAAATGATGGAATCGAAAATCTGCTTCCGATTAAAAAACTTTTTAAGATTTACACAATTTGAATATGGAATATGTACAATGTACAATGTGTATATGTCTATAACAGTTCTTGTAAATTTTCTGTCAACAATTGTTGCCACCCATACCACCACGCATGACATGCAATATGCCTTCAAACTCTCACACGATAAACCAATTCAAAATGATATCAACTCCCAGCCCTAAACGTCATGTCGTAGTATTTATGTATGTACATACAGACTTAACTGAGACAATGGCAACGAATTGTTTGCATTATTATGCAATGTGTAACAAACAAAATGCCGGTGATGTTGCAATGTGCAAAAGTGTTCTAAGGTCGATTGCGAAAAGATTCCGATGGAGGTGCGTCATCATCGCCAACAGCAGCTGTAGCAGCAGCAGCAGCAGTCGGAGTCATCACAAATGCTGCATTATGAGTGAGTCGCATACTAAATATACACATATATACACAGATATATAGGGGGAGTTGTATGCATGCGATGTCAAGACAATAGCCACCGCATGCGCCCTTCCATATACGTACAAACACCCACCCATACGTACAGACCATTGATGACAACGTTTAGCGGGCGTTTTTTCCACATTTATCAGGCGCATGCGCTTGAGAAATCAAAGGAGTACGATAAACAATGGTGCCCTTAGTTCATGCTATTCATGTATTTGGATTTTAAACTAGGCCGTTACAACATGCTATTCTCCTACTCAATTCGTATTGAAAAAAATGTGCTCTTTAGTTTGAGCTGTGAATATCTATTGAAATTGGAGGTACCACTTTTTCTATACATACCATGCCATTAGATATCGATTTTGTCCAAAATTTGGTATGACATTTTAATCTTGTTCAGATTAAGGGACAGAATAATAGACAGTTGATTGTAGTTGCCCCTCTGCAAGGAATATCACACTCCCCGGTCACTCTGGCCATCAGATGCACTGCTCAAATTTGAGGAGGAACACGGCTCGGAAATACCATTCAATATTCTTGGATGAAGGCAAGAGATTTAGAGTTTCTTGGGGCATATGAACTTATCACAGGATCGTGAAAGGTTATAATATTATGTTGACCTTTATCTGAAATGCAATACAGCAGATGCCAAGTAACGGTATAAGGGAATCACTGGGCGCGGCAAAAGTTAGCCAGGCCTCATTTTGGGACAGCAACTACAATATCTGTACATGAATATGGAGTTAAAAAGAGAAAGAATAGCTTTTGATCAATATTAAAAACCAGTAAATACAGCACAGATTATCAGAGCGAAAATCGTTTGCTAGAGTTCAAGGAACAGGAAGAGTAAATAACCTACGCGGCGGTCCAATGAATTTACCTACTCCTTCTATAGCAGACAAGAGAGGGCCGGAACTAGCGCTATCTCCGGAGGAATTTACATATATTTATCTTTATTGATAGATGCAAACCTTAGGTGGGTACACGAGTCAACCCAATATTTAATGTAGCTCTAAACATAAGGACTTCAACTCCGACTTTCAGAGTTTGTGGGAAATGCTGAAAGCAAAAAAATAGATGCATAGAAAAAAAAAACAAAGTAAATATCAAAGTCCCAAAAAGTGAGTTAGTAGCAATCATTAACTGATTCTCAGTGATGTAAAAATGATGATCCTTGAAAAAAAAACTTGACATGGCACAACTTCAAATCACAAAGAGCAAACCAAACTAGCTATTGGCTTCAGCTTCTTTACAGAAGATGGTCGGATGAAAACATGCCTGACGATTGCAACGTGAGTGTGCTCTACCCAAACGCCAAAAAAGGGGAATCCAACAGTCTGTCAATTATCGTGGGATAAACCTGCTCAATATCGCATATAAGGTCCTAACGAACGCTAAATCTATGAAAAGACACCTGAAAAAGGAATAGACATGCACAAACTCCATGTCGATTTTAAAGCAGCCTTCAACAGGACGAAGAAGAGCTGCCTCTACGTCGCTATTTCTGAGTTCTGTATTCCCGCAAAACTTATACTGCTGTGTAAGATGGCGTTAAGCAACACCAAAAGCTCCGTCAGGATCGGGAAGAACCTTTAAGAGTCGTTCGATACCAAACGCTATTTAAGACAACCTTATCGTATGACTTCTTTAATTCATTGCTAGAGTATCACTTTTCCTAGCAGGTGCTACTTTGGACTGATTGGATAAACTCTAAAGTCGCTCGTCATTCCCGTTATCCTAAATGGCGTGGAGGCATGGATCATAACAAACATCTCATGAGTTTTTGTGGAAAAGGCTCCGCAATCTAGATTCCGGGTCCAGATGTATGACAATACTGAAAATTTCCTATGCCCCATTAGAAAGATCAGGTGGGGTAGTACCAGGATATGCTTGGTATTTCCATTTGACGCCAAACAGTGAAAGAAAAGAGTTAATGACGCGCTGTTTTTAATTCGGTTGAAGAATACCAAACGAGGTAATGGATAAAGCGCTTTGCAAGTACAAAGGTTAAGCGAAACTTTTCGAAGCCCTTGACTTAGCTGTGAAAGAAAATAAACGTTTTCGTCTTCTGAGACGCACTAAGAGCAGAATGAGCTTACATAAAGTTTTAATTCTGGCCGAACTTTTGACTTCCCCGTTTCAACTCACCAGAATTTTTATTGAAAATACTTGGAAATATTCCAACAACAAAGCGGCGAAGCAGCTCAGTGTCAATATAGCCCAACTTCTGCTATTATTTCACTTTGCCTCTCTCTATCAAACTTCTGCATCTTAGTTAAAGCCATTAATTATTTTTTTCCCGTGCGACATTAGTGGCAACAAAACACTACAGGTTCCAAAGATATTATCTTATATATGTATGTATGTATGTATGTAAGAAGATGCTGAGAATGCCAGTGGAATTGAGTAGTAAATGTAGAACTCGGTGACAATTTATGCAAATTCTCAAAACAGCCGTTTAAATACAGTTATTTAAATATACGAGCACGCGAGTGTGCGAATTTTACGACGGCGGACAAAGCAATGAAGTCAGCCGACCCAGGCCATTTAAAGTTGAGCATTGTTTTGGAAGCTGGCGCAGAAGTAAAGTAGGCTGAGCTAAATTATGGGAAAATGTCGTCTTTTGTTAAAAACTTTATTTCTTT